CATGATGGCAGATATGTGTGTGTGGAATGTGGCTGGCCACGTTTGTTGGGCTCTCTGTGTATTTGGCCTTTAGAATGCGGAGAATGAGCAGCATCCACTTTTAAAGACGAACTACCTTATGCATATTCATGGGGGAGGAGGCCATTTCAGGTGCTTGTTGCAATTACCTAAGCAGGCTATGCTGTCCGCCACTCGAAAGGAGCACTTGGAGCATTCTTTAAGCCACCCAACGATTGTGGGGAATACCATTATGAATGCCATGCCTAATGCCATGCCAATCCTGTAGGAATTCTCTCGCCACTATCGCTGCTGCGTGTCGTTGCATTGCGGACTTTTGGTGGCCGCGTCAGAGGCTTCTTGAGTGCTTAATGGCAATGTCCTGGAACTGGGTCATACCTTAAATTGTGTTGCGTTGGTAGACTCCCAGAGAATACTCGCTGGCGGCCAAAAAACTTCAGAACAAGGCCGCCACAGCCACCAAGACAAAAGTTGAACCAAAAAAGCGCACTACTAAGGCTGTCCCAAGGGTATATGAGCATTCTATTCTCATTAAAGTTTTGATGAATTCAAGTAAAGTTCGAATAGTTCGGTTTCCATTTCTACAGAATTGTACAGGATTTAGCCTCAATTAATCTCTAAATTTGTTTCAAAGGGCTACCCAAACAGACCCCAGAGTATCCATTCTTTATCTTTGGAATGAAGCCGAGTCTTACCTACCCACCAGAACATTTATCCCACTAACAAAACTATTCTGCATCTAAGCTCTTGCTAACTCAAACAATGGACTCCACATCCAATGCCAAAATAGAATTGGGGGTATCTATACCACTCGACGCTCAAACTATTCGCGTATTTGACTTTCATTGGAAGAGCTGCACTGTCTGTTGATTTTGTTTAATTAAAATTCTACATTGAACACACATTTTAGACTGCAGCTAAATTCGTGTTGACTTAAGCGTTGCCATGGCGCTGGCGTTGGTGTTGCTGTTGGTGTTTGGCTCTGTGGCTTTTTGTTTGATTAAATATTTGCTTAAATTGCGGTTAAAGTGTGCCCCTGCTCAGGGCCCCTTCCCTTACCACAAAAATGTGTAGTGGCCTTGAGAGGTTGGTTTCCCCCTGTTTGGGTTTCCCCTGTTAATGCTAATTGCATTTTGTCTGCCAGCCTGCTCGGAGCCAATTGAATTACACAAAAAATAGTTGGCAAAGACAAGAGCCGAAGCCGGCAGCTGCTTGTCGGTTGGCTAATATAATGTGGCACAATTTTCCGCTCATTTTCCGGCTTTTTATGCAGCTGCCTGGATAGTATCCTCCAGGTGGGAGGAGGACTCAATGGGGGTGGGTGGGGACTGCGGCAAAGATCAATGCAGGTCATGCGATTTATTAGCCAGCCGCAATTTGCATTTAATATGCAATTCCCACATGATTTATGGACCGATATCCTGCATGTCCTGCATAAGGTATTATCATCATCATCATCATCATCATCATCCACTGGCGCTCATCAATTAAGCAGCCGAAATGCGACTGAAAATCACTGGATAAATGGCAATTGAAAAATGTCAATGTCAGTTTCTGCTATTTAAAAATCAAATCAACATAAAGCCACAGGGAGACGATGAACCAGGCCAGAGCAGACCGATGATGGTGAGGTTAGCCAACCAGCAAGATCCCAGAATTCTGCTGCTGCTCCTGCTCCAGCTCCGTATTTCATTTGGCCCAAAGGCTTGGTTGCCAAATCAATGGGAAACTTGTTTATTTTCAATCTACATATAATCTGTGGCATGCTGCTGAGGTAGCGCCAATGGCTGTGGCACAGGCATCATCCTCTAATATATGGCGCCGCGACATAAATCGATGATTAAGGAGTCCGTCCGGTGTCCTCCTTTGTTCGTGCGTGAAAGAAGTTCCACCGAGTTGCAGAAAATTCGCATAAGCCGGTGCCATATACACATTTATTTCAATACACATATGTACATACATATGTACATATTTATGCATATTTACATGTACATATTTATGTATTATTTATCCTGCCAACACAACAATATGTTGCCAAATACATGCCTCATCCATCCACATGGCCTAAGTACGAGTGTGTGTATGTACATATGTATGTATGTATGTATGTATGTATGTATATATGCCGCTCCGTTTAACATCTGCCGTTTTCCCACACACAAAAACCGTCTCAACATTTGAGGAGCATTGGGTGCTCGGTCAGGCGCGTTCGCCAGCTTCAAGGCCCACAAAACAACAGCCGTCAGCCGGAATCATACGCACACACACACACACCGCACACATAAATAAATATTTATTTTGGATGATGCCTAAATGGGTGTGTGTGTGTGTGCGTGTGTAGGGCGGTACAGCCTATGCACAGATTTTCATAAAGAAAACTTTCAAATGAGTTTCCATTGAAACGCCCTAATGCCAATTTAAGGCATGCCGCCGCCTGCACCGTTTGCAACGCCTGCCTGCCTGCCTGCTGCTGGTCCGAAACCATCATCAAGTTTATATGACAGCAAATGAGACGTCAGACATGTCACATGCACACACACGCACACACACACAGAGGAGAAGCCGGAAAATTCCTGTAAAAAAGAACGGACCGAGCAGCTTATAATGAACGAGCCAACAGCTTAAGCATCCGTCGGAAAAAGTTTCAAGTTCTTTTTTTGTGTATTTTTTGGTTGTTGTGAAAAGTTACCCCTACGACGACATATTGGCTTCCTTCCAATCACTCGGCAACTGCTTTTTTTTCGACTACGAATAGCTAGGCAATACACACACATACATATGCACGAGTATGTATGCGAAGAAGATTAATGTGCCAGAAAGAGATACCCAAAAGCCCCAAAAAAAAGAGCCCCCCAGAAGGAGTATTGCCAAAGCTGATGTGTCCATCTTCATCATTCCTTATACAAAAATCCGAACATTAAATGAATATTTGGCCCCGATGAAGTGCCTGTCCCAAGCAGGCTTAACCGAGAAGTGGACTCCGGAATAACTCGCTTGACTTTGCTCAATAATCAAATTAAAAATGCGTGTAATGGAAACTGGGAAAACTCCACTCCGTTTGAAGTTTTCCCCAGCAAGGGCAATTGAATTGTGGGGTAAATGTAAATTGCCACAAAAGGGAAAATAAAATCAACCGTATTCGAAATTGCCTTTATTTATTTTCATCCTTCTAATTCCTTTTAAGCTTCAATGTTTGTGTGTGTGTTCACATTTATTTTTCACTCTTTCGTGTTTCCTGTGGCCTGCTTCTGGCAACTGAGACAAATTGGGGCCAACTGGGAAGTCGATAAGTAAATATGTATGTGCGAGTAAGTGCGAGTAGCTCTTAGCCCCGATCAGAGGTGATTTCTTGTATAAACACCTTAATCACATTTCACTTCAAAGACGAACAAATTGGCTGCTGCTGCTGCTGCTGTGTTTATGCTCTGACTAAACGTTTGTTTATCTGCAAATACATATGTACATATATATTGTATGTGTACAATTTATATGGTATATAAATGTTCTGGATGTACGCCACACATGATTTTGTTTTGCTTATAGTTTTGTGGGTGCCTGTAGCTGACAATTAATTTTGCATTAATTCTAATTAAGCCCATCTTTCGGTTGCCAGTTTTCGGCAAGACAAATGCCTTCGTATTGCCGGCTTATTACAGAAGAGAGTCCTGTAAGATGTCCAGTATGTATGGGCCCTTTTCGGGGTAAATCTTTCAATTAAGCCGTGGGAGAGTGGAATCATTTTGGCGCTGGAGATACATCGAAATGTACTTATCGTGCGACAGTCCGACAGTCTATGCTTATGATTTATCTGTGCTGCCAAAAATCTGACATACTTTGAGGCGCCACCACTCATACAGACACAGAAACACACACTCACACACACAGAGGTAGAGGCCTGCGATGGGCAGCGGCAACAGCTTCAACTTGTTGACGTTGGCTCAGCATCCCTGGCACTCCCCCAAGTGGTGGGTGAGAGCAACCAAAAAAAAGGGCATTGGGACTCAACAAATTGTTGAATGTACATACACACACACACACATACATACTCTCCCTCTCTTTCTCCCTCTCTTCGTCTCCGTCTCTTTCTCTTTGTCTGGCTGTGTGTGGGCGAATTTATATTATTTTTGCCTCCTTTGCTTTTACATGGCAGAAAGCAACACAGCGGGCAGGATGAGAGACTTTCGAGTGTTGGACTAACTGTTTTGCGGCAGAGCATGCCAGGAGCCCAAGGTCCAAGGTATATTAATAATACGGTGAAGCCCTACCGCACTGCTGGTAGCATAATTTTGGCTGCCAGCTGCCAGCTTCCATCTGCTACAGCCAACGACCCACCTTGCTCGCCTTGTCAGAGCCTGGCAGAGCGCTCTACAGGACCTCCGCTGGAATACAGGGAACGAAACAGCGTGGGCAAAGGAAAAGGAGAGACTGAAAGAATACCGGAACGAAACATGGGACTGCCTGCCTGCCTGCCTGCCTTCCTGCTGAAACGTTAAAGAGCAAATAAATGTCTCGAGGCAAACAAAACGAAAAAGATGAAGCAGAGAGGCTGAGTCTGGGCTGGCACGGGCTGAGAGGGGCTAGAAAGAGCCGCAAAACTCCATGTACAGACAGGCTCATATACATACATACATACATATGTATGCATGGCGATGCTCAAAGTAAAACATGGACTGCTCTGCTTGCTACCGTTACATTTCGGGTACTACTCCAAGAGAGTCGAAGCGCGACGGGACGGGACAGGACGGGACACTCGGGGACTACTTCAAAAGATCCAGAGTGGTATGGCACATTCGGGTAATACTCCGAAAAAAAAAAGAAACCCAGAGATGGTGCCATACGAAACGGTACGCAACAGGGGACCCCTCTGCATTTTTTTGCTTTCCTTTTATTATTCTTCTTTGAGCAATTTTTATACCGTTAATTCTCATCTCATCGCAAAAATTATATTATTTTTTTGTTTTTTGTTATTTTCAAATATTCACCTTCTTGTTGCTTCCTTTTTACGCGTTTCCTTCTTTTGGCTATTTATTTATCATTTTTATCACATTTTTTTTTTGCTTTTTCTTTGATTTTGCTTTTTATTTATTCACCTATTTTTGTTGTTGTTGTTGTTGTTGGGCAGGCTGTTGAATCTTTGATGAACTCTGCCACACAGACACAAAACTCACACACTCATACACATACACATGGTTGTCTTTTTGCACGTTGGAATTTATGGGGGGGAGCCTGCGTCGTGTTTGAAAGCTCGCCAAACACTGAAACGCCAGTCGCCAGTCGCCAGTCGAAAACAGAAGCATGCTATGGCGGCGGCCCCCAGTACTGCTATCTGTTCGTTACAGTTGTGATGCTCTGTGCAGACCAAATGGGCACCAAGAGAGAGAAGTATGCTACTCCAAGAACAGGCAATTTCACAGTTAACAGCGCTCTGTTACTCTCTCTGGCATTAGGTCAGTGTTAACAGCGATTGCATTACGAGCAACCTTTATCCAATCTGGCTAGTCGCTTTAGTCGCTTCTCTTATTTATATGCTGTTGCATATTTGAAGCTCCCCACCCCTCCCCCCTCACACAATGGGTGAGCATCTGGTTTCTATCACACGCATGAGTATGAGTGGGTGGCACTGGGAATGTGTGCCGCAAACTGCTGCTAAGTAGTCCTGTAGTTTCTGTGTGTGTCTGTGTGTGCGGGGAGCGTTTTATGGGTCCTGCTTCCGCCACCCAAGCGGAAAAATCTTACTTCATATTTGCACACACACACTCAAGAAGCTACTGTGGTGGGGTACAGTGGGGGATATGCAAATCGGTTGCTTTTGTTATTATAGAGAATCGCATGCCTGGAGCACAGCGTAGTGGGGTTGGTGGGGTCCGCTTTTTATGCGTTTATTTAAAGAAACCATAAAAACTACAAGGAAATATGCCGCACTGCCTGAGCACATGTTGCAGTGTCTGGGTAAAGGCTCCAAGGAGTGTTCTAAAAATGGAAAACCCCTCAAGCCACGACTATCCGGGGAATACGATCCAGGGCAGCACAACATACAACATCCACATTGCCACGGAGCCCATCAACACGTTTATGCACCCGTATCCGTATGTAATGTCTTTCGGCCAACTATCGCTAGGGCTTGTTGGAGTGCAATTAGCCATTACAACGTGCTACAATTGCCTGGCTGGCTGGATCAGATATCATAGGATTCGCTTATACCGCACTTCTCTTAGATGTTCGTGTGATTGGCGTTAGTAAGTACCTTTAACTTTAGTTGGCAGCGTTGGAGCTGCGAACGCGTCCAGACTGCGACTGAGCCCCACTCACGACAATGCCGCCAAACGAGGCTGAAACTGGATGCTGTCACTGCCACTGCTAAGAGCAGCCTTGAAACTGGCGGCTAACAGCGGCACTCCAGCTAACAGAGACGAGCCAAAAACTTGGCCAATAGGTCAGTTACACTGCAGTGCTCAGTGCACCAGCAATGAGTTCTGTCATTTTTGCATGCCAAGAATTCATTTTCATTAACAGACACTGAGAGAAATCATACAGTTTATTAACACAGTGGAGGCTGTAATTACAGCTGAGGCTCCTCGTTGACAACGGGCTCGCCATCCAGTTTCCGTATGGTGGGCAGGCGTTTGAGGCACTCCGCCCGCCACGAGGCATCGTCCAGACCCTCGGAGAGGGGATTTCCCACGACAACCAGTTCCTGCAGCGACTCTATCTCGGCAAGACGATTGAATTCGGACCAATCCTTGATCAAATTGTTGCTTATATAGAGCACCTTCAGGCACTTGAGCGGAGTGAGACCTTTGATTTTCTCTATCAGATTGTAGCTTAGCCACAGCTCCTCCAGGGTCTCGGCCACGGCTTCCTGGAATGTAGCATATAAGTAATGGATGTACGAAAGGCATTGTTGCTACTATACCCACCAGACCCGAAATCTGCTTGATATAATTGCGTGACAGGGACAACACTTTGAGGCACTTCATACCGGACAAGCCAAAGATCTTCTCAATCATGTTCGTGGACATGCTAATGCGCCTGCAAATAGATACAATTCGTACTACTGCGGTTCCTCCTCGTACACAATGTCCAATCTCACTCGCACTGCACCAGGGTGCCCAGGGTGGTGTCCATTTTCTCGATGGGCGGCCACTGGAACTGCAAGTCAATGTCCTTGGCCGTGAGGGAATTCTGCTGCTCACGGTCCTCCCATCGTTTCAGAGCCTCCTTAATTGTGGTTGCTTTGGACATGGTTTGATCCTAAGCTTCACGGATTTTCACTTATCCACTGAAAGGTTAAGGAAATTGTGGCAAATAAACAATCAATTTGGTTGCCAATGGAAACGTGAAAGGTCTCCGTCTCCCCATTCCCCATGCAGTTGTTTACTCAATGACATATTGGTGGAAATACAATCGTGTATTTGAAAGATAATTGATTATTAAGATACATTCATTTTTAGTTTACACAGAAGAGGAGTTTGTACGCCAGGCTGGATCATCCAGCAAGGGGATAGTCGCTTAACGACGATCGGTCTTGCCCGTGCCACGCTTGCCGGAGTACAGATGACGCGGCTTCTTGGTACCAATGAAGCGATCTGCCTCGCCCTTGAGGCCCCATCCCATGGTGACCTTCTTGGCAATGTCGTGCCTGGCCTTCAGCTGAGCCTTCTTGCGGATGGCCAAGTTCTTGATGCCCAGGGTGTCGCGGGTCGGCGCACGTTTCAGAGGCAAGCCCGTCGACTTGACAATCGCCGATTCCTCCTTGTCGAGCAGCGGCACCTTGGGGTTCTTCTTGGAGCCGACGGCCACAACGCCGCGACGCAGATCCACCACAGACTTGGTAAAGTTGGCTGTCTTGCTGCCGGACATGTCCACGCCCAGGCCCTCCATGGTCTGCACCAGCTTGTTGACCGAACGGTCGCGAACCTTGGGCTGTTTGTTGCGTGGGATGATCGGCTTGTTCTTTCTGGCAGTGAGACGCTTCTCGTCGCGCAGCTCGAAACGCTTGCCGCGGATCTGCTTGGCCATTTCGCGGATCTCCTTGAGGGTCTCGTCCATCGACATGTCTGGCACGGCATAGACGCCGCTCTCCTCCCGCAGGCCCTCCTCGCGCTCCAGTTCCTCCAGCTTCTCGAAGATATCGGGATCGATGTAGTCGGAAATGTTGCGGCCCTGCCAGAACTCGGGTATTACATCGTAGCGCTCCTCCTCGGGGATCTCGCTGTAGTTCTTCTTCAGGTCGAGCGTGTAGTCGTCGCCCATCTCCTCCTCGATCTCCTTCTCCAGCTTACGCTTGCGCTCCGCCTTCTCGGCGTTCTTTTCGAGACGGGCCAGAGCCTGATCGGGAATGCAAGGTGCTCGCACCTTCTCGTCGCGCGGCGCAGGCATGGCCACGTGCAGGCGATTGAGAATGTTGTCCACCTTCTTGGTGCGCATCTTCTGGTCCACGCGATAGGAGAGCAGACGCTCGCAGGCCTCGGTCTTGACCTCCATGACGCCCGTCTCTTGGACGGTGGACATCAGTATGACCGGAACGTTCTTGTCCTCCTGCAGCTTTGTGATAATCTCCTGCCTCTCCTTGGGCAGATCCTCTGGCATCAGAATGTCGACCTTATTGATGGCCAGAATCAAGGGCTTGTTGGTGAACAACGGCTTGATGCTCTCGAACAGCGCCACCTGCTCCTCCAGCGAGTGTCCGCACTGTTCCGAAATGTCCATGAAGTATAGCACACAGGCCCTCAAATGGGCCAGCGCCGTAATGGCCTGCATCTCGATTACGTTACGCTCCTCGAGCGGATGGTCCAGAATGCCGGGCGTGTCGATCACCTGCCAGCGCAGGTACTTGTAGTCTGTGTGGCCCACGTACAGGGATTTGGTGGTGAAGGCATAGGGCTGCACCTCGACGTCGGCGCGTGTGATCTTGTTGATGAACGAGGACTTGCCCACGTTGGGGAAGCCGCAGATGATGATGGTGCGCGAATAGGGATCAATCGTGGGCATACGCGACAAATGCTGACGCACCTGCTCCAAGTACTGCAGGTTGGAAGCCTGACGCTTCAGAATGGTGGCCATGCGACCAAGGGCAGCCTTCTTAAGCTGCTTGCAGCGATACAGCGAGTCGCCGTACTTCAGCAGACGCACATAGTCCTTGGCCACGCTAGAGAAATTAAATGCTATAATAGGATTCACTGGAACGTTGGATTCACATGGTGCTTACGTGTCTACCAAATGTCTGGCTGTGTTAAGCTGGCCCAGAGCCAATTTGTAATGGTCCTTGTCGTACAGCACGTTCATCAGATCCGCATAGAAGGGATGCACATCGTCCAGCTTTGGGAAGTCCTGTATGATCTGCGACAGACGGTCGTGGAAATTCTGTTGCGTGTATTTCACCTTGCGCGTGTAGAACGCCCGAATCCTCGAGATTTTGTAGCCCTTGTGAACCACCGTGGGCGTCTTGCGCTGTGTCTTCGACAGCATAATGTCGATAAAGTCCTAAATCGAGAATCATATACCATTATTTACTTGTTGCGCAGTTATAAACACCTTCGGTGAGGTTAAGTCGCGTCCCCAGGAGGGTGCTCCGCTGGACATAACAACAAAACAAGGCTCCACCCTCTCTTACCTTGGCTGGCGGAACCACCATTATCTTCTTGAAGTTGTACAAACTCATTTTGTATGATTTTATTTATTTTCCACGCTTAAAAAAGGAAAATATAGCAAAAACACCACGCGGTGCTGCAACGATTCGAAAAAGAGAGTGTGACCGCGGATTTATCGACAAAATACCGTCTGACCCATCAGAATATACCAAATATACCTTCACATTTTCATAATATACCGTAAATATACCGAACGTAATCATTTAATGCACAAAATTTAATGATTAAATAATTAAAAACATACCTTAATATATTACTCATAACTATAAACAAATCATAGAAAAATTTATAGTTAAAAAATAAACAGATCATAAAAAATCCCAAATGCAAGTCAGTGGAAACATGCAGCTTGTCAATTTCAAAACAAAAACAAAATGGATACGGAAGCAGCATCGTCGTCCTCCTTTTCTGACAAAAGAACAAATCCTGCAAATGCTCAGTGAGGTGCCTGCAGGATTTGTGGAGCCGACGGTGCCACCTTCTCCCGTCTTGCCGCCCTTTAAGAAGCTTGGTGTGCTCGTCGACGCGGATGACATTATCGACGCCAAGGAAGCCACTGCGAATAAAGGCCCCAACAACAACAACAACTACATAAACAGCACACAATCCTATCTGTGTGCCGAGTGCCGTCGCACACTGCCCACCGCCCACCTGTTGGATCTACACATCACCGAGCAGCATGATTTCTACTTTGCCGCCAGCGTGGAACGCGGCGACAAGCCCATGTTCACCTGCTACCTGGAGGAGTGCGGCACCAAGTTTCACACGCCCCGACAGCGCAAGGACCACTGCATCACGGCGCACAAGTTTCCGGCCAACTATCGCTTCGACCAGGACCACGGCAACGGCAAAACCAAGCACAAGGGCAGTGGCAAGAAGAGCGACGCCTCCATGGAGGTGGACGAGGCGCCGGCAGCTCGCAAGAGTGTGCCATACATCAAAGCCTTCTGCTTCGGCCACAACACAATGCGTACGTTCAACACGCGAAAGGAGCGCCAGTCGGGCGACACTCTGGAGGATGTGCAGGACATGAAGAACGCCATCGACGACATCCTCGATTAGATTTACATAACTATTTATTTTGCGAATGAAGCAGCATTATAAGATAAACGTATAGAGTTAATTTCCCGTGAACATGATCGATCATTTCGCCTTGGGACTAGCCCTGAAAATAAAAGGAATTTATTGTTGAAGCCGGCATGCTCTTCTTCATCCTCTTGCGATAGTCTTTAATTAACACTTACTTTCCCGTGTTGGCGTTGATGTAGTGATACGCCACCACCAGGAGGAATAGAAACACTCCCAGAACGTTGGAGAAAATAGCCAATTGCACGTCGGTAATCATTTTGATTCTGAAAGAATGTTGTAAACACGAAAAATTGATGAGAAACGCCTGCGAGCAGTGACACGTCATGGATGCGAAAACGTCTATTCTTTTACATTCTCGAGAAAGTCTTTCGGTAAATATGTTGCGTGGGGTTTGGCTATCACTATTCACAACGTTACGGAAAGAAGTTTCGTTTAATTAAGTTATTTTTTTACCTTTTTGTCGGCGAAAAACGAGCGGTCCCGGTTTTGTGTACAATTATTGAAAATATCGATATCAAACGATAGTTTATCGATGTGTGTGTTAAACTAGTAGTGCTGTAAAAACACTAGTAAAACCAGTGCTGGAAGAAGTGATATTATGCCCGCAATGAAATAGTATTCAAATTATTTAAATTTAATGATTTTGGTGAAAATTCTACGGAAATTCTACTCCTCACATGTAGCTGTAGTTACTCTGTTAATGGAAATGCTTTCCAAACTTGCCATACACACTTGATAAACGACTAGCGACTACACCTCAATGATTTATTTGGTTTTTATCTTCATATTTGTGCAAGTGCAGTTATCGGAATCTAGTTAATTAGTTAATTGTTCCGATATTGCACATCCATGCATACATATATATGTATGTATGTACGAATCGAAGGAGTTTCAGTTGAAGCAGGATTCCCAACGATAGCAGTTCAAGGGGCACAGGACAAATGGGACAACTTTTGCTGCTGGATATTTTTCAATGGTACGCCATTCTCATTGGTTTAACATCTTACAGATATCGCGATGAAGCACTCATTGAAACCCGTCTAACCAGAGTCTACACGCTGATCGTCAACGTCATCATGGTGACAATGATGCCTGTGGCTGTGGTTGCGGCTAAATTTTCATGGGTGGATATGTGGCTGCCGCGATTCATGTGGCTCACTCCGTTCGTCCTCTATGCCGTGAACTACGCGGTTCTCATAAACACTCTGATCTCGCGCTGTCATCGGGACAGCATACTGATGGAACTGCATCGTTTGACTGTTCAATTGAATCGCGAGATGCGCCGAGCCGGAAAGCAGATGAACTCGAAACTCCAAAGGCTGCTCTACATGAAATCCTTCACTTTGTTGTTTCTGTGCCTGTGCTATATTCTGGGAACATTCAAGTACAACGGCGGATTCACTGTTCCCATGTTCCTCACCTGCCTTCTAATTAACAATGGCTACAACTTCCTGATTGCCACCCCACACTTGTACTTTGTGTCGTTCTGGCAAGTTGCTCGAGGATATGACTTCGTGAATCAGCAGCTGGAGGAGCTCATCTCCACACGCTCGCCGCTTGCCTCTGGATACGCAGAGGAGCTGCGTAGTATTTGGTCCCTTCACGCCCGACTCAGCCGGACAGCGCACAAGATCAACACCATCTACGGTCGCCAGATGTTGGCCGCCCGTCTCGACTATCTTTCTTTCGCTGTCATCAATAGCTACTTTGGAATCATTTTCTCACTTGGCGTACAGTCGAATTATTTTGCTAAATTGTATGGCGCTCTTCTCTGTTGCACACGGATGATGGACTTTTTTATGGCCGACTATATCTGCGATTTGGTGGCTCAGTACCAGAGCACTGCGAAGCACACAGTCAGTGAGGGCATCATGTCCGACGAGGTAGGTAATATCAGACACCCACTCGGAAGCCACCTCCCAAAGAATGTGCATTTAACTTACAGCTAAGTTCGTATGTGATCTATCAAAACAGCATGACTCTGAATTTAAAGGTTTGCGGCCTGTTCCCAGTCAATCGAAAGGAGTGGCTCAACATGATGGGATCTGTCCTATGCCACTCTGTGGTGCTCCTGCAATACCATCTGATGATGTCCGCTAAGCCAGAAAAGCAATACTAATAATAGTACTAAAACACGATTCAATCGTTCTACTAATTAACTAATTGACTCATTTATCGCGTTACCCGATGTGTGTGTGCTAATAACTAGTGCTGGAAAACGTTCTACTATGCCCGCAATTAAATATTTAAATAAAGTTTCAAGTAAAAGTCTAATTTATTGTTGTTTTTTTCATGGTCAACTTACAAATAATTAAAATAGATTATGCATTGAATTCTTATTGCCTAATTTAAAGTAATACTTGTTGCGTCACTCTTTTGTGCTGCACTATAGAAGGTCACTTGTTTGTGCAATTAGTTTTGTCATATTTAAAAGTAATTTGTATTAAAATTCCTTAGCAAATAATACAATAAATATCATCACACAGACATCTCTCCATTGCGCTAACTTAAGCTTAAAATCGATCTTCCGGGGAAGACTTAAATAAGTTCACTTGCGACGTCACTCACTCTAGAATAAATTAAAACACGAAAGCTTGGCTTCGTCATCTTTCTAAAAAAAGCATGGGCAAATCAGATTTCTGATTCGGCTACAACATATGGAATTTGTGGTAGTTGTGCACCTCCACTGGGGGTTAATTCGTCGTCACGGTGATCCCCAGCGGCGGCGACTGCGTGGTTGTCGTCGTGGCGCCCATATCTTGGGAGGTTCGAGGCAGGTAAGGCTTCGTGTTGGGCCGCTGGAACAGGTCCGAGACGTAGTTGGCCTGCAAGTAAAATAAATACATTAAATTTCATGTTGCAATAAAGAAATTTCGAATAAATTAAAGTGCTCCTAAAAGTATGCGATGATGCTACAGCCATTGCTTTCCCTCTTATCTGTTTAATTGAATCGTTATGGAATACGGGCGCTCTTCCCTCATGACTCGATCTATCTCTCCCCCCTCTTGTGAAGCGTGAAATTACAGGTGGACAGCTGCATGCCACAGCTGGTGGTTGCACTGGATGGTAAGAGTCAACCCGAAAGCGGTTACGTGCCATCAATTGGTTTGATTGGCACCACACGCAATGCCATGGGGACCCGGGAAGGTGTTGAGTTATGCCAATTTGGAAATGTTTCCCGTTCACCAATTAAAGTTCTAATTATGTGATGGTCTAGGATCAGCACGAACACACAAACGCCAGAGGATAAATAATGAATAGTCGTGGGGTATGCTAGATTTGTGATGTTTTAATGTTGCAATTCTTTGTTACAATGTCGCAGCAAATAAATCGGTACGATGCCACTCTCTTTCGCTCACTGCTTCTTGCCCTTGGTGGGCCACACTGTATGCCAATCGAACCAATTCTTGGGCAAACAGTAGCTCTAAAAAGAAGTTGGAAATGATGGATAACTGAATCTACCAGTATAAGAGGAGCTGCCACCATCACTGGGATCATGCTGTGGGGTGTGGAAGGGGCACACTATACTAGACTATCATTTACTTACCACAACTAAGGCACACGTGGAGCCAATCAGAGCTCCGGCGAGCACATCGGACCAGTGATGCTTGTAGTCCGAGACGCGGCTCAGGGCCGTATACCAGGCAATCATGATGAACATGAACTGGAGAAGGTGACGCAGCAGCTTGGAGCCGTGCCAGGTCATGCGTGCCTGCAGATACAGCTGCAGGGGGAGAGGAGAGGAACACAATGAAGGCCCAGAGAACAAAGCCAAGAAGAAAGAGAACTTACCGCCATGTAGACCATGGCAAAGAAGGTAAAGCTGGAGTGTCCGCTGGGGAACGAGAGGCGCATCTCTTTGAGCATGCGGGCCGAAGAGCCGAGTCCCTTGCAAGTAAACTCCTGAATGTATTTGCCAGCATTCTGGGGATCGTCGCATGTGGTGCCGTCTGCCAGGACGGGCTGGCACACCTGTAATATCGAATCGTATGGAAATATGAGTATGAGCAAAAGCCTTGACTCGCCTGCTTAAGCTGCTTATGGTATTTGTCTTTGGGAGAGACTTGCGCACTTCCCCTGCGGACCTCTGCCACATGTGCTGCAAATTAGAGATGGAAATGAGCCAACAGCTGCATCTGCATTGCATTTTGTTGCTCGCACAGTTGCCGCACTTCACTAAACAATAGGGCGGCTCTGTGCTACTCCTCTTAGAAGGGGGGACCCAGGCCAGAGCACCCTCGATTCGATCCTATTCCATATCCCGAGCCCCAGCCCACCCTCCCCAACGATGCCGACGATAAGCTAACAAGCCACTTGCCGCAAAAGAGAAATATTTATGAAATTGCCTGACAAGCAGTCAAAATATCATAAATAAACAGAACCACTGGCAGGCATGGCAGATTGAATATTGAACCTGGAGTTGAAGTTGAATTGTAAATACCCTGCAAGATACTCTCATCCTAGTCGGATACCCCTCAAATTTGTCAGAGAACTTTCCTCTTCGACCTTGGCATTCTGCCCCTTGGATAGAGTATTCCATTTGAAGTTTTGGCACCAACTGCAGGCACTCTCCCCTCCTTTTGAACCAATCTATTATTAAAGACTTTCCCCCCCTTCTTGGGTGTCTTTTGGAGTCTTTGTCTGCAACTTCGACTTTGAATTTGTCTTCGTTGTCGCCCGTCAGAGTGTGTCGTTTGTCATCCTGCACATGTGGCAGATTAAAATTAATTGGCAATGTCAAAATTGCTAACCAATTCCCATTCCCATTCCCATTCCGATTCCCTGCACGATTGCAGCAACAGCAACAGTCTGAGACTTACCGCAATAAAGTGTGGACGCAGTCGTCCGATGGAGTACTTGGCAATGTCCGTCGTCAGCTGACTGACGGCAGCTCCAAAGCCATAGATGCCGACCTTCTTGTAGCACTCGATCAGCCAGTCGGGCAGCTCGTAGCCCATGAAGACATACCGCCGGCTGGTGGCATTGCCATTATCCAGTTTCGCCTTGTGCCGCGAGATCAGTACCTCAACAGCGAGAATCTATGGAGAAAGAGTTTGGTGGAGTGAGTGAGAAACTATAGAGAAACAAAATAGGAGCGGGAGTGGGAGTGGGAGTAGGAGAGTTTCCTGTTAACACCTCGTAAAACCCTTTTATTTTTTTGGGTTTTCTAGAAATCATTAAAATGCGCATGCAAATATTTATGGCATGTGGAATGGGTGCTCTGTGTGTTCTCTGACCCGTATCTAGTCGCATTAGGGCCAGACACATGTTGCTCTAGTTTTAATTGCTGGCATGTGGACAGTAAACAGACGCCCTCGCCCCATCCAGATGGCGTGCAGATAGCTCTTGCATCATATCAGATCCATTCCCTCTGCTGACAAACTGAACTTGAAATGATGGCGCAATCTCTGACTGCTCAAGTATCTCTCTCTCTCTTCATCACTGACAGCTGCTTGACACAATTACCACTCTCCAACTCTAGCACCCACCCACCCACAATTGGTGTCAATTATTTTATGCGACTCTCGACTTACCACACCAACGGGTATCAGCACTCCGATGAAGTACAACATCCAGTTACGCACTGTGGAGTCGTGGAACGGATGCCGGAGCGACTCATCATCGCAGAAGAAGCCTCGCTTGTAGGGATCTCCCAGCAGGAAATACAACAGTATGGGGAAACCGACTGAAAGTGTTAGAAAAATAGTTGAAAATATTAATAATAATTTATCAATACTCGTAGTTAGTAGGTCATCCATTGGGTGTTATCTATGGACGGGGGGAAAGTGTACCGTGTACCGTGTCCCGTCCCCTGCGGACTGCTGACAGCTGACTTATGGTTGATATGTCTAAGCTATTGATAAGATTTCCCATTGACAGCACCCGAACGTGTGTGGGGTTTCAATGTGGATCATAAACTTAAATGAAAGGGAGTTCTGTGGTGGAACTGGTGGAACTGGTGGACCCTTCATCGGGCTCTTCGCTTGTCTAATTAAAAATTCGTTGCCATTAATAATAACTCATCAACGGAGCATACAAATTGTGAGGCGTGCAAGCTGACAAATGGCCAATATGGACGGGACCGATCCGATTGATGGATTGATTAGACAACGTTCCGTTGAGTTTATTCGAGTTGAGTTGTGTCCCTCCTCTGTTTGTTTTAGGTTTTGGGTGGAGAGGTTGCAGTGCTCCATTAAAATTGCATTAGGAGCCTGCCGTTGCTCTAGTTCTAGCTCCTAATGAGGCATGCTACCTGCCACGAGCAATGCTCTGGTTCCTGCCACAGCTCACTGGAGCATTCAAAATGAGAAAGTTCTGTGTCCCGAGGGCTCATTAGTCAGAGGAAGACATCGAGCACAGAGCACAGCATAGAGTGACATGCAGTGCTGTGCTGGCTAGAGATATAAATGAGTTGAGGGAATGGACTGCAGTTGGACTGCATGGCAGTCGGAGATATCTCGAGTGCAGAGTTGGCGACGCTTTGGCCCAGCACTTGAGGCAGACACCGGCGACGACGACGACGACGACTTCTAAGTCCCTCTCTCTTTTAATTGGTTTCTTTTTTTGCCATGCCGATCTTTGTGGTCCAGACTCCGAGCTCCGAAATCGATGTGGCAACAAAGGTGGGTGACACAATGACCCTCCAGCTCACTGCTCCCTGTGCCCCTGTCCCATTCTTCAGCCTGCAGCTGCATCATCAGGTCCCTAAATCTAGATCAGTGGCATTGTCTGAAGATTTTTAACGATCTCTGGGCTGGTTCTGCTGCTGCTTCTGATGCTGGGAAAGTTATATAGATGGATTCTTGCAGAGATTAGCGTCATATTACACACAGCAAGTGGCCCATTGTTGGCCAAAGGGAATGCTGCTCACACACTCTCTGTCTGTCTGTCTGTCTGTAATCCTGTGTGTGTCCCGCCACCCGGTAGCACTAAAATGTTTTTATGACTTTGCGGCATAGAAAACGAAAGTGTCTGGGGAGATATTTCGATCTCCATAATCTGGATTAACTATGTTTTACGAACAGCACCCACCGTTGATAAAACCATTTTCCAAATCGAGAAATGGGGGAAAACTATGAAAAACTATGGAAAAACGAAGCGAAAACTGAGTAGAACTGAATTTTGTTGATGCTTTTGTGAGCGTTTCTCTCTCTGTCTC